CTTTAGCAGCAGCAGCAGCAGCGCGGGGGCTACAAGCGCGTTGAAGGACAAGAAATGGGACGCTCTGGTCATTGGTGGTGGCCACAACGGCCTCACGGCCGCCGCGTACCTCGCACGTGGCGGTCTATCCGTCGCCGTCCTTGAACGGCGTCACGTGATCGGCGGTGCCGCCGTGACCGAAGAACTCGTTCCCGGCTTCAAGTTCTCTCGGTGTAGCTACCTCCAAAGCCTCCTCCGCCCCTCCATCATCAAGTAACACACACAAACACATTTCTTCATTTATTTGTTTATTTGTTTGTGCATTTGCTTGATAAACTGCAAATTTGAATAATTTAATTTTCAACCAAACAACAATGCCTTATATTATGCTTCTAACAGAGAACTAGAGCTGGCGCGGCATGGAATGAAGTTGCTGAAGAGGAGCCCCTCGTCGTTCACGCCTTGTTTGGATGGAAAATATCTTCTTTTGGGGCCAAACAAGGACTTAAACAACTCTGAGATTTCCAAGTTCTCCAAACAAGACGCCGATGCTTATCCAAGGTTTTCCTTATTCTATCCGTATTTCGTATTCGGTATTACATGTCTGTTTGGGTTTGAATAGTTAATTTTACAGATATGAGAATCAGCTGGAGAAGTTTTGTGAATTTATGGACCCCTTGTTGGATTCAGCTCCTCCTGAATCCTTGCAATGTGAGTCATCTTGTAGTGTTGGTGACCGCATCAAGAATAAGATGCACAATTCAATGTTTTGGGCTCGGTGTCTGAGACAGGCTGCCACCTTAGGCCAAAAAGATATGGTGTAAGAATTCATTTTCCTAATAATGTCAGCTATAAACAGCATGCTTGCTATGGTTATGGTACGGCTAATTAGTTTCCTGATACAGATTTTAGGTTTATGATTATGTAATTATTGGCTTTGGCAGGGATTTTATGGACCTTTTATTATCTCCAGCTTCAAAGGTTTTGAACAACTGGTTTGAGGTGATCAATTCCTCTCTACCTAGGATCACTGACAACAAGATTTTATTAAAATGGGAATTTTATATATATATATATATATATATATATATATATATATATATATTAATTCTGCATAATCGTTATCAATGGTGATCAGTTCAAATCTTGTGCAGTTTTATGCATAGTAGTTTATTAGCTTCTCTGTTGTTGACTCTGCCTTTTGCAGTCAGATGTTCTGAAGGCAACCCTTGCAACAGATGCTGTAATAGGAACCACGGTAAGAGTTCTCATGAATGGTGTGGAGATGCATTTCTTCAAATATTTAAACACCTCCAGATAGCATACATAGTGGACATTGTGTTTCTTTCTCATCAATAGCACACACACTCTACTTAAGAAGAACTATGCATCTGTGCCTTATAACTTTTCTCGAGAGGACAATGATATTATGGGAAATTATTTCATTTCAGGGTTCATAATAGATTGATTATACAATATACATTTCCTACTATATCATCCACATTGTTAATCATTTTGACACCTCTATTTTCTTACGTAGGGAAGTGTCCATACACCGGGGAGTGGATATGTCCTGCTACATCATGTGATGGGAGAAACTGATGGTGAGCATGGAATTTGGTCGTAAGTTCTCTTTTGCTTGCTTGACATATCTCTGCCCACTAATTTTCAAAATTAATTTGTCATTAGACTTGGATAAATGCATTGGATTGTTCTTTTCATGCCAACGTTCATATTTTATTACCTTTAGCTTGGAATTTTCATTTTACACAATTTTGATTCATCCCAATTTATGCTTTCTCTTAGTATTGAAAAACCAATTTTCCTTATAGGTATGTTGAAGGTGGGATGGGTTCAGTATCCTTGGCTATCGGTAATGCCGCTAAGGAAGCTGGAGCTCATATTGTAACATGTGCAGAGGTATTTTAGTACAGAAAAGAGCTAGGATTAGTTCATGCTCCAGTTCTCAAACTTTTTTCTTCATTCACTTCTTTTATATTGTTTGTCTGTTTGCCTTTGTACATTATGCAATGATCTATTGCTACATTTAATATTTCAGTTTTGTTGTTTAGGTGCAACAATTGTTGATTAATGACTCTGGCACGGTCAACGGGGTTAGTTTCTTCTTGCTTTCCTAAATGAGGCAGTTTTGAAACTTAAATCTAACTGAATGGACATTGTGGACATGTCTTATTCTAGGTTTTGCTGGCTGATGGTTCACAAGTGCACACTTCAATGGTTTTATCAAATGCAACCCCTTATAAAACATTCAAGGTTCTTCCCTTGCTTATCTAATTTAAATTTACTGAGACAAATTATATTGTACGAAATAGATGGGATTCACATTTATGTGAAACCTTTAGACTAGCTATTTGAATGGATTTTAATCTGGATTATAGGTTTCTATTATCTGACGCAGGAGTTGGTGCCTGATAATGTTCTTCCTGAGGATTTCATTAATGCAATTAAGTACTCTGATTACAGCTCTGTAAGTTTCCTCTATTACTTTCCTCTGATGTTAACGCAAACTATAATCTTTACTTTAGTACCTTTATTTGACAATATTAAATATTTACTATCATGCAATGTAAGAACATATGCCATATGCTAAAATGTTACTTGATACACTAATGATTAGAAGATTGGATTAAATGGATAACAAATGTGATTTATTACAATCTGAGATGGTGTGAGACAATCTATTGTCTTCAGCCGATTTTTCAATTTTGTTCGGTTGACTAATGTTCCATACACAATCTCTTAGGAATGGTCGTTATTGGTTCTAACTTCTATCCCTTTCATTACTATTTGTGACCAAAATTAAATTTGCGGATTTATATCATCCTGATGAAAATGTTAATTTAAAACAAGGAAGCATGCGATCAAGTGTGTGCTCATCAGTTGTGATTTGAGATTTAGAATAAAATTCATACAAAGTTGTAAAGATTGATTTGACTATTGTACAGCAAGTGTGACTATTGTAGGCATCATGAGTTCTAGTCATCTGACTATCACAAATGAGAGGACAGAGACTTCTTTCATGCTAATTGAGAGATTGCTTACCTTCTTTGTTTGTAGGGAACGACAAAAATAAATTTGGCAGTTGATAAATTGCCCCAGTTCAAATGTTGCAAGTTAAGTCATCCTGATGCAGGTCCTCAGCATGTGGGCACCATTCATATTGGTTCTGAGAGGTATGCTGTTATCTCAGCATTATCATTTACTTAGTTCCACATGCTGTGCTTTCTCTTATCTTTTCTGTCACTCTTCAAGTATGGAGGAGATTCACTCAGCCTGTCAAGATGCTGTCAATGGATTACCGTCTCGAAGACCAGTTATTGAGATGACAATACCTTCTGTACTGGACAATACTATATCTCCACCTGGTACTTAAAAATTACATTGCCTTAAAGAATGCGTCATATATTTCATTCCTCTTGATACATATTTTTATCTGCTCATATCAATATAATCAAATTCTTTTTAGGTAAGCACGTGATCAACTTGTTTATTCAGTACACACCATATAGTCCATCAGATGGCCACTGGGGAGATCCTGTTTACAGAGTGAGTTTCCCTACGTACGTCATATATTTCATTCCACATGGTGTGCTTTCTCACTTCTTTTCTCTGACTAATCCTTTGAAAATGGCATGGCATCCTTTGCAGGAATCATTCGCGCAAAAATGTTTTACCTTGATTGATGAGTATGCCCCTGGATTCAGTTCATCAATCATTGGTTATGACATGCTGACTCCACCAGACCTTGAGAGGGAAATTGGTTTAACAGGTACTTCAAACCTCTGCACAAATGTAGGCAGCATGTTCAGGTTATTTAAGTTTACAATAAATGATACAAGGATACTGGCAGAAATACCAGCCATTGATCATCATCACAATACACGGAGATAGGAAGTTTGTCAAACAAGCTTGAACTTGATAACTGGTTGTACTAAATTTTGTAATATTTGAACTTACAAACCGAAACAGATATGACAGCACGATATGCATGATATATGCCCACAGAAACACAGAGGCCGGCATAGTGCATTACGAATGGCATAAATGTTTAAGGAGCACATTGTTCACCCAACGCAAAATTTAGCTAGTGTAAAAATTTAAAAGTACATCAAACTTGACTGCAACATCAAAATCTCCCAGTCTCCTGATTTTTAAATTATTCTTGACAGGTGGGAATATCTTCCATGGTGCTATGGGATTGGATTCGCTCTTCCTCATGCGACCCATTAAAGGATGGTAAAATTTACCGGCACATCTGATTTTGCGTGGGACATAAACTTTCTATTATAGCTATGCGTGGGACACACACTAGTGAGAGTGTGTGGCGCTACCAAAATCTACATTATGTTTATGTTGTTTTGGGGGTGCATATATACAGGTCAAATTACAGAACACCATTGCACGGGCTGTATTTGTGTGGCAGCGGTACCCACCCGGGAGGTGGTGTGATGGGTGCACCCGGGCGTAATGCTGCGCGTGTGGCTCTTGAAGATGTTAACAAGCCCTTGAAATGATTTTCAGAATGTTACCAATTTACCATCGATGCTAATCTGACGGTTCTACTTTCATTTTCCATTGGGTGTGGGCTGAAATTTACGGGCACACAACCACTTTTTTGCTAATCTTGTATCTTGTGTTATTTTTTTGGGGTTTTTTTTTCTTTCATTCAGAATACACATGTGAAAAAAATAAAATAATAGTCGAGAGCAGGTACCACAGTGGTGGTGGCCTCCCCCTTCCCTGCTTTGACAACCCAAGTTCGAAACACGAAGGGGTTTCTTTCCTCCCAATGTAACCACAAAAAAATAAAATAATAATCTCATGGTTATTTACCAATTTGGCCTCCTTGGACAATACAAAAGGTGTCTCAAGGTCATTTGCTTGATGATTTACAAGGATGGCGAGGGGTTTTGAGGAGGGCAATGCATGCTCAATAAAACATAATATATATATATATATATATATATATATATATACAGGGCAACCTGGAGCTATCACAATTTTCATTAAAATTATGGAAATTCTCAATTAAAATTGCCTTCCATTAAGCATCCAAAATCTTCACAAACTCCTATCAGAGAAACTTGGAGGTTCTGATAACAAATCACTCAAAACTGCATACTATCGGCTCCGCCAGGCAGAAACAGATTTTGGGACCAGTGAGATGGCATTTGAGGCTGTTTCTAACCTGCATTAAAAGTGAACGCCATGTGTTAAGTACTCGAATGAATGGCAATAATAAGCAAGCAGACATCATGTCCCACCCCCAAAAAAAAAAGGATTACTCAGACACAAGGGGAGGGAAGAGGGTGAGAGGTGTTGGGAGAGAGTACTTCGAGATTTCTTCAACGGCTTTCATAACTTCAGTTGAACTTGTTTCCAGCACTTGCCCTCCAAAAATGATCTCATCCATTACTGTATGCATCTGAAAAACAAGAAGAGAAAAAAAAAACCCTAATTGAAGCATAGTTCAATGGAAGTCTAAACATGCAACGGAAATGGTTTCACGAATCCAACAAGCAATACTTTGAAACATAAGATACACCATGAGCATTTTTCTCACCTACATCTCCTAAAAAAACTAAATACCCACCTTTGTATGCAACATAGTCCAATCACAGAACAACGCCAAATAATGTTTATTAAGTTTGTGATGAAAGCTAATACTGTTTATTATTTTTAGGAATTTCACATTTGTCAGGCATTATGCAAATGGAGGGGGAATGTACAACCTTGCTGTAATTGAGCACGACATCAAGCTCGCACACATTTTTGAAGCATTTGTCCAGGGTTTCCACAAAAACTGTAGGAATGAGAATTGAAGTAAGCAAATCATCCCATCAAAGCAAAAAATTAATATAATTAAGTACAAGCATTAACACTAAGAAATAAGCTAATCACTCTCATATTCAGCTTGTTTGCAAGAAAATTTGCACCCTAAATTTCACTTATGGAATTTTAAATTCCCAATAAGCATCCCTTTAACATTCATCGAAATTCCAACCATAAAAAGCTTTCCAAATTCTACTAATTTAAAGTTAAAATTGCAAATTTGCAAGCAACCAATTTGTGAATGCTCTACTTGTCAAAGGTGCTGCATGCTGTAAATTTGAACATTTGCATTCAGTGCCAGCTACATATAATCCGGTTATGCTATGTACCTTGTATGAGGTCGAGCATGGCAAGCTCGTTTTCAGAGCTATCAAATACAAAGACAAAGTACAAAGTTGCAAAGTGCTTGTACACAAGGCGAGTATCCTGCACCAGAAAGGAAATGGTTCATATAGAAGAACAGCCTACAGTCATGCCCAATAGAACAGGACTGTTTATTTTTTCTTTTCCAATTCAGATCATACAGAAACATAATAAACATGGAGAATTTGAGAATTTGAGGGAAAAATTAGCTAAAATACCGGGCCGAAAATAGACTCAGCATCCACGAAATTGCTCACATTCTCAGCTCTGCTGGATAACACTAGATAAAAGAAAAATCAAACATGAAACCCTAATTTGAAGTAGAGTGGTGAACAGAAAACCACCCAACAAATTCAGTGTGAAGCTATGATAATCGTAAAAAAAAATTAAAAATTGAAGAAAAAATATATAAAAAGTTAATTACAGTAGAGAGAGCAAGAGAACCTCCATAGACGCTGCGTATAAGCTCCTGTTGCTTCTCCACAGGCTGACCTCAAAAACTGGAAAGTCAGCAATTTTATACATAATCGTAAAATAATAATAATAATAATAAAGATGCACAGAAATAATAAAACTGAAAAAAGAAGGAGCTGACCTGAAATTCGTAGAACTTGGCAAGCCGAGGCTTTCCCTGCGTGTTTATCACCATCACTGCCCGAATCATCTCTTCCGTTTTTTTTTTCGGGGGTTTTTTTCAGTCATTCAGATCAGAAAACACAGATGAGATCACACAGCCTTCACAGCCGGGAGGGGGGAGGGGCCTTTCGGTAAATTTGCTAAAGAGGCAATATCCCGCTGTACCATGTGGGGGCCACATAGCAATCCACTCAAGTTGGCTGTATAAAAATTAAATAAATATCTTAAATAGTGCGCGAAACAAGCCCTAATTGAATTGAACTGAAGTCAAACGCAACCAAAATCCTCGTCGGCGCATCAGAGCATCTAACAATGGCCGCTCAACAAGGCGACGGTTCTGAAGACGATGCAACTCTAAGCCCTGTCAACGCCGCCATTCTCCTTCCACCGACTGAACATTGCCTCCACTCCATCAACTCAACCGTCTTCATCCGGCAGCTTCCGTCTCAAGGTCTCTCCTTCCAGCTCTGGCCAGCCGCCACCACGTTCCTCACTCTCCTCGACGACCACCGCGGTAACCCTAGCACCGGCCCGTTGGGCCCCACTCTCACGGCCTTGGACTCTCGTCGCCCCCCGATCAAAATCCTCGAGCTTGGCTCCGGAACCGGCCTCGTCGGAATTGCCGCCGCTGTCACGCTCGGAGCTAGCGTCACGGTCACCGACCTCCCGCACGTCGTTCCTAATCTTTTGTTTAACGTAGAAGCGAATGCCGCCGTTTTGGCAGCGAACGGCGGGGTCGTCCACGTGGCGGCGCTGAGATGGGGAGAGGCCGAGGACGTGGAGGTAATTGGGCGGGAGTTTGACCTTATCGTAGCCTCGGATGTAGTGTACCATGATCACCTGTACGAGCCCTTGCTCAAAACGCTGCGTTTGTTGATATTGGGTGGGGAGGAGGCGGAGGAGGGAAGGGTGTTTGTGATGGCCCACCTGAGGAGGTGGAAGAAGGACTCGGCTTTCTTCAAGAAGGCAAGGAAGGTTTTTGAGGTTGAGGTTTTGCACGTGGACCCACCGTGCCATGGCTCTAGGGTTGGAGTCACTGTTTACCGTTTTGCCGGGAAAAATTCGAGTAAGAAATTGTTGAAAGCAAACAATGCCATTGCCTAACAATCAAAATGGATCTGATTTCTTCTTGGGTTTTTGTTCTTTGATACCACAAATTCAATGCACTTTTAATTTATAACTTAAAATCAGGACAGTTTTTACAATTTACAATCTTCACAAAACAAAAGCTATAACCAACAAAGAAAACCCATAACCTCACTCTCACACCAATCCACAAATGAGCCTTTGGCCGAATGTCACACCAGTATTTCTACTGTCACTTGCGCAAAGGTAGCAGCAGGGATTTATGCTCGAATTGCTTGGTCTTCATAGCTTCCTTAGCGGCAAAGGCGATCCTCTGCCCACAGTTTTCATGCTTTGTGAGTCTCTGAAGCAGACAAAATGTACTATTGTTTTTCCGTTCGGATACACTGCAAAGACACTTGTTCCTATTTTCTTCCTGCAAAGGGAGCACATGCTATCACTGGTGATCTTCACCACCCCTTTCCTTTGTTCATAGAGTTCATCTTTAACCTGTTTCGGATAATCATTGGTTTAGAAGAAGTTAAATCAAGTAGTGGTCTATGTTTTAAAATTATTAACATGAATAACTGGGTGAGGAATCTCAATCACAACAGAAGCATTTGAAACGAGCCAAAAAATAAAAGGGTAACAAAGGAACGCAAGCACATGGACCAAGGGAAAAAGCAGACTAAATTAGAACACAGAACTAAGCATTCAGTATAAACTGCAAGTGGATCAAGTCCCTAAGCTACCTACTCATTACCGAACTAAGTATCTGAGAGCAAGATATATGCATACCTGCAGGTTCTCACTTTGTCTCAAACTCTTGATCACTGAAAGGTTCCTGTATGCTTCACTGGATTTTCTCAACAGGGGTCCCATAAATGGAAGCAAATTCTGCAGATAAATGATAATAATACATGACTTCAGCATGGAAAACAGCATAAAACCTTGCGTGAACAAAGCAGATTTAAGAAACATATCAGCACCAATGCTTTGATATAATATTTAAGAACAAATTTGAACAATTCTTTCCACTATTTGCAAATGCATTATGTTGTGATAGATAAAATCATACAGAAGAATGACACTCATGACCAGATAATCTATCAGATACATTGCCTTCTCTGGTTATTTGATATGAATTTATCTTATTTAACTAGTTTCTTAAGGTCACAAGTCCTTAATCAATATGATCAATACCTGTAGCTTAGTTTCCCTTGGCAAAAGTTTGAGCGCCTGAGCTCCATTTATTCTGTCCCACTTTCGGCTTAACAAATCCAGGACCTCATCAAGCATGATTGTCGAACCTCCTTCCTCACTAGACTCGTCTGCATCTCCATCACTCCTGCTACTGTCAGCGCTACTTTGACCGACTCTTATGTCATCTGCCACCTCTATTGCAGCAATTTTCTTATTTCCACGACCTCCTTTACTTTTAACTGTATTTGCAGAACCAACCTTTGGTGTACCGATATTCTGAGGCGATACTAAATTTGTAATTCGCTTCTCAAAGTTCTTGGTTGTTCTCCTCGGATTAAGATAAATTTGCAATAGAGTGAGGTATATATTGCCAGAAGATCTTAAAGATTGCTGATGAACCAATGACTCATACACTCGATCACAATGGGACAGTGCCAGCTCAGGAACATGAAGCTACAAAAGCAAAGAACTTACTCTATTCAAACAGGATTCATAAGAAAAATAATAGATAATAAAGAAAAGCAAGAATTCAAAAAGCATATATATGAGTTATAGGATGTGAACATATAGAAAATACCTTATGAACATATAGAGATAAGGCAAGCTCATGTTGGTTCATTTTTCCCAACAAAATTGCACGCTCTTCATATAAAGCATCTGTTGGAAGACGCCTCAACAAAGCCTCTGGGTTATATCCTGAAATACTCTCTAAAGCAGACAATAATTTTTTTCTTGTTGAGGAGTAAGTTTGCTCATTCCATTTCTGCTGAGCACTTAAATCAGCATGCCAATCAAGAACTTCTGATAGATAGATATGTACCTGCCATGCACTAAATCAATTAGAATGCAGTTTTGATTAGTAAATACAAAAACATTACTTCTATAACCTAAGTGTTTTCCTACAGGGTAGCTGAAATTGGCAGCACATATCCATCCTTCCAAATCAACCTGTTTAGCTTCTAGGCAACTCCGAATGGCTCTTAAATGCCAACTAATAATTTGTGAACAATGCAATACATCCTTACCATTTCATTTTGCAGATTTCCAGAGATCCCATTTTCATCCATTGCAAGCATAAGCTCCAAGTATGTGGCCTGCATGTTGGGAGCATGCTGCTTCAAATAAGAGTTGACCAGGTCTGCTGGAATATTTCCATTCAAAAAGAGCTCAATTGTCTGTGTTGGACAACTTTCCAGAACAAGCATTGAATACTCCAGGACAAGCATGGGATCAGTCCCACAAAGAGGCTGCACAAGAAAACGATCAAATAATACTTGGTATGTTACACATATACTGGTTCCAAATAATCAAGTTCTAGACTCCAAATGTCAAAGATTGACACAGTTTAAAGGTTTCATATCACTAACATACTTAAATTCCAACAACACAACTAGCATATTGAAGATCCAAGTCATCAAACAAAATGAGAAAACTACCTTGAGATATTCAACAATTGACTCAGGCTTTAACTTTTGGATCAATTCAGTTTGCACTTGGTTAGATTTTGAGTCTTCTACTAATTGATGTAAAAGTTTTAGAGCTTCATGGTGCATTGAATTGCACCTGTAGAGTTCTAACAAGGCAGCGTGGTGATTGTTTTTCTGGAGAATCTCCTCGCATATTTTTACATCACAGTAGTTAAGACCTTTCAGTAATTCTAAAGCCGCTGAAGCCTGTCCAGTAAGAAGTAGAGCTTGGAGTAGTGCTGTATCCAGTATCGCAGCCATCTCCCTAGCACCGGAGGTAACTGGGATGCTGCCCCTCCCCTAGGAACCAAAATGCTGTCAGTTTTTTGATGTCACAATTGACATAAAGAATCATGAATATATCAATATACAAAGAGGTATCAAGTTGTGCAGAATCTGAAGATTCAGAACGGGCATACGCACACACACACAGACACAAGGTCATAAATATTGGAGTTGTTGAATTTGAGTTAAGTATGTTAAAGCAAAAAGGTTAAAATAATAAACAAAGCATGGTCATTCATTTTGACAACCATGTGTTTATGCTATACGAATATAACTTTAATTATAAGTGAAGTAACCACAGCCTACTCTATTTGTTTTAATATTAAAAGCTATAAGGACATTTTGGTACAAATAGAACTCTTTCTTCGTTGCTACCACAAAAGTCACAGCTTCTGAGTTTTGACCAAGAGTATCTAGCACACTGCATTCGGTTTGACACAAGATCATGATTGTCATGTTCAGGACCCATATGAAAACTTGTGTATCAATACCAGATCACGTACTAAATATGGAAATCGCACACAAAATAAATATAAGTAGTTTACCTTGTTCGATTTCTTAAACCTATTATTAGACTCATAGGATGCAAAGTTGTTTCCTACTGCATCTAAAACAACCTCTTCTGTCCCCTCAGCAGTAGCCTTTTCAATTATGCCGTATCTTTTTTTCTGTAAGAACTTTATCAGAGCCATGAGAGTGTTATGGCTCATTTTCTTGGACTCTAATGCTGCACTCTCTTCAGATTCCAGTAGGTGCAAAGGGGTAGAGGGTTCCATATCATCTGATATACCAGATGAACCTCTTGAGAGATATGAGGAATCCCCAGAAATATCCATCAGCTTCTCTGGCTCCAAAACCATAGTTGTCTTTGGAAGAACAATAGATGGATACAAAGAAAGTACATAGGTTATATCTACTTGAGATGCCAAAAAATGCTCCATGGCGTCCTCATAGGCCCCATTATCAAAAAGATGATGAGCATATCTGTAACACAATAACACAAACTCATTTACCACTTAATAAAAAGGCATGGAACAAGCATGATTCACATAAATGAAATGAAAAACAAAAGCTGAAATATTCACCTCATGTGAATTGACCCCTCCTTTGCAGCTCTAAGACTTGCTTCTTCTGGCGGAAGCAGCTTGCACAATGCCAACGCTTCCTCAAAATCACCAGATGCTGTTAATTGCACAATCTGCAATGCAAATACACAATTCTTACTCACTCTCAAAAGAAAATGGTACACCCACAATACAAGCTGTGGTCAGCCACCATGAGCATAGCAAGAGCATCAAGAATACCTGAGCACCAAGAGGAACGGGGAAGAGACCATAAACAGCATTCTCTAATGCAACAATTACAGAATTGTTGCTCTGGAGAATACGACGAGCATTCCGAAGAACTACAGTCTGTATCAATGGATATGGAGCTCGAAGTGATCGAACCTGCAAAACATAATTGGCAAAGGAAAGGTAAAACTTTTCACTACCTAGCGAAAATAGAAAAGTCGAAACAAGTAATCTTCTTTAGAGTATGAGGCACAGCCTACCTCAACATATCTTGGTAAGAGAGCTATTGCATATGGCTTCTGAATAACAACAACATTAGGAGCCTCTGACCAACAAACCCTGCCTTCTTGAAGAAGCTTCCCATTTTGGTCCACGAAAACCCCAATGTTATCCTAAAACATAAGAACTCTAATCACAAATCGTAACGCTTTGTCCTTAAAACACAAACCAAATGGCTGACACAGAAAAAGCAATTACCTTTCCAAGAAGAAGCTCCCCAGAAGGAAGAGAGACCACCAATGGCGGTGCCAATCTCCCCGAAGGAAACACCTCAGACAATGCACCATTAGTAGAATTCAGTATCATGTATTCTCTTCTAATCCCTATGCATATATTTTCCATTAGTAGAATTCAGTATCATGTATTCTCTTCTAATCCCTATGCATATATTTTCACCGCACCACGACATCGACTTCACCACATCTGGAACCCCAAACTCTTTCACTTCCACAAACCCTCGTCCTCCTAAAACCATTCAATTTCGCATTCATTTCAAAACAAAACAAAAAAATTGAGCATTTTCAACTGAAATTGACAAATGATGAGAAATGGAATTCATGTCAATTACCGTCATGTCTGAAAATACAGACCCGCTTCTGCCTCGCGAAGCACAAGAAGCCTCTGCGGTCGTCCCAGGAGTAGACATTGGCACCCTTCGCCTTTGTGATCACCGCGATGGTGCCCAAGTTCGGGAGGCCATGAAACGCTATTGACTCAGACAGTGATAGAAGGAGCTCTCTTGATTCCAGGACCTCCATGGAGACCAAAGGCTTCTTCGAAAAACCGGACAAGTTTCTCTCCAGTGTGTACGGTTCCTGATGTAGCTTGTGCGCGTGGTAATCGGAAGGCGGAGAACGGTCGGAACTGGAGGAGTCCGGAGCGTAGATTTTGAGAGATCCATCAGAGCAGCCCAGGAGGAGCTTCGGACCGTACGATTCGATGGCTTCGATCTTCGTAGGGCAGTCGCTGATGAGCTCCAATGAATCGTAGGCACTGTGTACCATGTCGTCGTCGACGCTTTAGAACTACTGATCGGAGCTTCGTGGCTAAGTGCAGACGTTTATATCTACCGATGGATACGGCGTCGCTTTGTGTTTATATTTTTACCGGAAAATTTCGATTTCTATCGCTGCATTTCAATTTTTGGTACCAAAATCACAGAACAACAAAATTAAATAAATTTGACTGTAAAAGGAAAAAAAAAGAAAAAAAAAAGATTTTCTATTTAAACCCCACACTTCTCTTTGTTCACCCCAACTTCTAATTTAAAATATCACAATTTCTAAGAAAACCCCACTATCTTCCCAAACTACCCTTAAATACACCCCAAGCTGAAAAATGAAGAAATAAAGAGTTTTTCTATTTAAACCTCACATTTTTCTTTGTTCATCCCAATACTTAAATCATTAAACAATATTTGTAGTATACATGAGATTTTGTTGTTTTCACAAGGCTGTTTTTATCATGTGATTAGATCATATGGGAAATTGTAATTTGTTTGGTTTCGCTTGATGATAGTGAAAACCAATGACAACAACATTAGCAATAGGACTACGTATCTGTAGGAACATGGTTCCTGTGCCCTTCATCATACTTGAAGAGATTTGCATGTTTCTTTGCTAGAAAGAGCAAGGCCGCAGCTCGGTTCCTTGACATACTGTTTGTGAGAGCCATAGAGAAAGCTGGCCATGTAGAGGAGTTCCAATGGCTTGGTGCTGTTTGTGGCTATGCCTTTCCATGGAACATGAACCATCATAGCTTCCATTCTTGATATGCCATTATGGGCAGCAGTGTCTGCAAATTTCTTTGGTGTTTTATTGGTTGGGCTTCTAGTAAATTTGCTGGTGAACCTTGGTCTCAAATATGCAATTATCACTGGTATTATCCTCTTCATTATATCCACATTCATGTGGAGCATCCTTCAGAACCTTAGGAAGTCTTTAAGCTCATCAAGCTGATATGACATTTGAAATTCTTAAAGTAATCCAATCCCTCACAAGGGTTAACTGATGATCCTTGAATTTTGAGATTAGATGATCCTTGAAGAGTGGTGGGGTCTGTGGGTGTGTGTGTATAGATAGATTTGTTAGGGTTAAATATTAAGTTGAATGACCTTTTTTGTCTTTTTACACAATAATAAAACTGACAGCTTAATAATTTAAGTATTGGGGTGAACAAAGAGAAGTGCGATGTTTAAATAGAAAATCTTTTCTTAAATACCCAATTGCAAATTAATTGTCAATTAACATCGAGTATATATATGTTGCTACAATATATATGGATTCTACGAAAATTAGAGAAAAGAAGAAAAAACAGAGAAAAGGAAGGAGAGATTCAGAGCACACAGTCAAAATTGTTGAGGACAATTGCAAAAATCAAAGAGGTCGAAGAAGGAATAAGAGAGGTATCCAAAGGGAAAGACCAGAAAAACTTGCATGGGTCAAGATTCGAAGAACATGAGTCGATGTTGAATGAAGGAGAGGCGGAGTCCGAGAGAGAGAGAGAGAGAGAGAGAGAGAGAGAGAGGCGGAGTTGCTTGTTCAATTTAGCGAAGCACTTATTTTGCGAAACGATTTTCAGCTTATCTATATAAGGAGAAGAGTGAGGGTATTTTTTTTTTTACTATTGGACTCTACAATCCCATTTAAGTTAGTCCTCTTTCTAACCAAACATGGGCTTCAGGTCCAATGTACAGTAAACTAAGCCCATACATCCAAAAGGTTCGCACTTTTATTTTGCAAGTCAATGCGTACTTTAATTCAAATTGATAAAGTTTATTTATTTATTTTATTTTATAGAGACAATTAAGATCAATAGTTTAACTGCTAAAGACTTACTCTTCTTTCGAGATCCAACTCTCAAATTCTTATTGTTCTCCTTAATGAGACTAGCTTGCCTTCCACGTTACTGCTAAACAGTCCTAACTCATCTACATGATATTATAATATTTATCTGTGCATAGGTCTATTATCATCTACTGTGTTCATATCTCCTATACTTTATTAGACTCTTGTACATTATATATAAAGTTTATACAAGAGCTACCAAGTACTTCTCCTCAGAACGATCCCTTATGCTATAATTCTAGATGGGGTTCTAATGCTTTCAAGCTGGTGTGATTGACTAAGCATGGACATGGTATTTATATGCATCAGCTCTGATTTCCTTGCCCATCAAGGAATATTGAAATTTACTGTAGATAACTTGAGCTGTCAATATATAATTTTAATCAAGAATTGGAAGAGCAACAAGCTTCATCGATTGACCGTCAACAACGAACGAGAACTATGAAGTATAGGATAAAAAAATTCCCAATTCCTAAAATCTATGTTCTTGTAATTTCTCAGCACATACTAGCTAGCTAGATATCTCCTCCATATCACCAGTGCCCTCTTAATGTTAATTCTCCCAAATCTGCACCAAAATGAATACATATTATTAACACAATTAGTTAAAATGTAGGGCAATTGTCATAATGCAGATATATATATATATATATATATATATATATATATATATTCTAGAGCCTAGAATCTAGAAGAACTAAATTCAAAAGGACTTTTAACTAGTAATAGACGGAAGACTTAGAGTTGGATTTGGCTTATGTGTATTTAAACATATTATTAACACAATTAGTTAAAATGTAGGGCAATTGTCATAATGCAGATATATATATATATATATATATATCTTCACATACTTTCAGTTTCTTCTCTCTTGCATACGCCTCAGCTTTAAAGGCATAATTGAAGGGCCAAACACTTGTAAGTTTTGCAAGGCCGGCTTCAAGGACGGGAATTATCACATGGGTATTTGACTCCAATAAATATCCCACAAAATGTCCATCTTCATCAATAGTCTCCAGTTCCACCTGTACAAAGAGATACAATTTTATGGAGGCAAGAAGAAAAACCAAGGGGAAATCAAAGCTACCACATAAATGCTAAATAATCACCTCCACCCATCTCTGAGATATGGTTGTCCTCAGTAGTTCAATTGCTTCATCTGCATAAGGCTCCTCATCTTTGGGCCATGTGAGACCATGAAGTGAGAAGGCAATCCTCCATATCTTTTGGTTTTGAATCCGTAGTATAATTTTATCTCTGTTGTTAATACGGGTAACAAATTCTACAAAAGCATGAACTTTCTTGTATTTACCAAAGGACCATTGAAAGATAGAATTACAGGCTCTACGAGCTTCTTTGCGCGTTGCCTGAAAAAAAAACACACACACACACACATCAAATGACTGAATGAAGGAAAAAACTAACTCTTTAGAGAAAAAAAACACATCCTTATCAATCTGGTTCTCACATTTGACAAGTCTATTGTGTCCATGACTGAGGGATTTACCCCAGAATCCACTATGAACTTTCTTGTATTTACCAAAGGACCATTGAAAGATAGAATTACAGGCTCTACGAGCTTCTTTGTGCGTTGCCTGAAAAAAAAACACACACACACACATCAAATGACTGAATGAAGGAAAAAACTAACTCTTTAGAAAAAAAACACATCCTTATCAATCTGGTTCTCACATTTGACAAGTCTATTGTGTCCATGACTGAGGGATTTACCCCAGAATCCACTCCTTTCGTATTAAGAATCATATGGTCCCTAATCACACATTTCTTAACCTGGAAGAAAACGAAAATCAATTAGACATACACACACATGACAAAGAATAACGAGGAGATGAATTGGAATAGGCATACAGATGAAAAAAGCATAATTGAGTTATAAATTTTCATTACACTTCTTTCCATTTTAAATAATACAACCGTTCTTATGAGATTCGGGTCTTGAATCCTTTTGAAAGCTGTAGGTGGGGGTGTATAGTCTTTCCAAACCCTTGATCTTCCTTCCTTCGCATCATAATCCCGATCCTCATAATTTGTCATCATATTGCACTACCATCTTATATCCGATACTCCCTCTCCCAATATGATAACAGAATCTCTTGGTATTAAAAACTATCGCTTAATTTGATTGAATGAATTAGCTGTGCGGTGTTTGACAATATATATATTATGGCAATGCGGCGCCAAGGGTCTTGTCCTTTTTATAGGGGATCACCCTAGGCTTGAAATCTTGATTGGGAACCCTAATTCTATAATATAGGGGAAAATAATATTTTGGGCAACTGGAAGGTAGCAGCAATTGTTGCGAAGGGCCATAGAGCTTTCATATATAAACATGGAAAAGGTAGCATCACCGATAGGTAGCAGCGAACCCATGAAGGGCCATAGACACAGACCATATACAAACATGGCATATAGCAAATATATAGACAATAAACGCAAGAAGACACAACATAAGAAGGAAGCAATACCTTGTTCACGAAGAGTTATTCATCTTCACGAGAGCTATTCATCTTCTCTAGCAAACAAAAAAAAAAACTCACGTGAAAAGTCTAATGGGTTAGGGTGAGATTTGAGATAGGGTTTGGTATTTATACCTCCCATTTAAAAGTCACACAAATTCAACATTAAAAAAAAATCCATCTAAAGTCTTGATTGAATTTGAATACCACTAGATTTGGACACCCTCTTTAAAATATCCTAATAGTCCTTATTGAATACCACAAGACTTGTTTAGTTTATTTAGAAGTCTTAAGTGAATATGAAAAGACTTATTTATCCCAAAATAGTCTTTTAAAATCTTAATTGAATACACCTCCCAAAGTTTCCTATAAGAAGGCACGTTGCACCCAAAAAAAAAAAAAAAGCACGTGTGGTGGAAAAAATGAAAGTTAAAAACTTATCTAAAAAGAAAATTCTTATCAATTCTCATTAATTCAATATTCATGCGATCAATTCTTATCAATTTTCATTCATTCAATATTCGTTTATAATGTATGTACCTAGTTTTAAATCAAGAAATATTTACAGCATTTTACATTACAAAGTAACAATGCTACTAATTTTTGCTATTTGTTATATAATTAAGGAAAATTGTAAAGAGAAAGAAGAGAGATTAGAGTACCAAGTAATAAAGGATACTACCAAGAAAAGGGATTACGTTTCCAAGAAAAAAAAGGAGGAGAGAGAAAATAATTTTATTTTATTTTTATGAGAGAAAAAATAAAAAAAATAATTGTTTATTTAAAACATTAAAACTATTTGTCATGTCAGATTTAATCTCAACTATTAAAAGTGGAGTAATCTAATGGCCCAAAAATTATGTCAAAACTTGTGTTAAAAATATGATGTTATGGATCCACCCCCATTAAGGAAAATTGTAAAGAGAAATAAGAGGCATAGAGGAAGACAACATAAATTAGTCTATCTTTTGTTGGATATTCTATCTTTAACTTCTTCTTTTTTGTTTTGTTGAATTAGGGTTCCTGACCTGATTATTTAAATTCTAGGTGATCTGATCCCCTATAAAAAGGACATAACCTTGGCGAAGCACGTCAACCCGAGAGAGAGAGAGAGAGAGAGAGAGAGAGAGAGAGAGAGAGAGAGAGAGA